TGCATGGGACTGCCTGGCCCAGACTACGGGAGCTTACTAGTATCCTTACGAAGTGCGTGTTCTGCTGTCTATTGAGGCACTTTGCATGTATTCTTTAGTTTGGCTGTCACCCACCCCGTGGGCACGAGTGATGATCATTTGTGGATGACGAAGCTGGGCTTCCTGCGGGGAACGGTCTGTCTCAAGGCCACCCAGGAGAGGCCGTGTCAGATGCTGGCCCGCCACATGCTGTCCATCAGTGACCCACATTCATTCATCGTTCGTTGCTTCCCTGCTCTTAATTTTTCCTCATAATCTAACCTGTATTACTTATTTTTCTCCAGTTTTTATTTTTTAAAATATATTTTTATTGTTTTCAGAGAGGAAGGAAGAGGGAGAAAGAGTTAGAGACATCAACGATGAGAGAGAACCATTGATCAGCTGCCTCCTGCATGCCCCCCACTGGGGATCGAGCCCACAACCCGGGCATGTGCCCTTGATCAGAATCGAACCTGGGATCCTTCAGTCCGCAGGTCGACGCTCTGTCCACTGAGCCAAACTGGCTAGGGCTTTCTCCAGTTTTTAAAAAATTAAAACCGTATGTCACTGCTGATCGTAGCTTATAGGAAGAGGTGTGGACAGCACCCATAGGCTCTGGAGTCAGGGTGGCTTGTAGGAAAGATTATGCTCAGGTGGCAGGCCTGGGCCGGAGACCCGGCCCTCCCGTGTGAGCCCAGGGACCTGCGGCCACTTTCCTCTCGAGCCTGTCCATCCCTGTCGTGGAAAGGGCTATAACCTACATGATCACAGCTCTTGACACTCAGGCAATGCAAGCTGGTGCCAGTTAAAGTTCTAATGTCCATTGCGGGGCAGGATTGGGCATTCGTGGCCTGGTCTTCTAGCTTTGTTATCCTCAGGGGCTGTGAGAAAGGGGGCTCAAAACGTGACTCTTAGAGCCATATTGGCTGTCTTTGCTGCAAAGGGCTTTTAAAGGTGGCAGGGGTAGTTTACCTGACCTGGGACCAGGCTGAGCCTTACAAGTGAGCAGCCCAAACCTGGCATGGGCAGCCTGGGCATTAAGGTTAAGGTTGTCCTCCCCACCTGCCCTGTTTCTGAGGTGTCCCTGTGCCTATCTCCAGAGGGCAGCCTTTTAAGTGACCTAACGCGGGGGCTGGCATTCAAGGCGCCTACATCCCACCTGGGCTACCAGTCAGCAGGGTTGGACGCGAGGGATCAAGGTCTCCCTCTGCCCACATGTGTCTTCTTCCTGTCTCTCTCTGTCTCTGGGTGTTTCTTACTGTATTGCCCACATCAATTTCCTCATTTGTTAAGTGTAGACACGTCCTAAGGGGTTCTATGCAGAGCCTTTGATTTAAGTATCTGTTTTATTCTTGGTGCCACATTAAGTGAACTTCTGTCATTATCCCCATTTCTGCTTCTCTGGTCGCCTCTTTTCCTGCTGGTGTTCTCCAGGCCTCAGAACTAGGCATGATCTCAGCGTTTTACAAGTACATCCTCACCACCATGGTGCGTACCCCCAGCAGCCTCTCGGGCCCCATTCCCTCCCGTGATATCTGCACCAGTGGTGCCTGGCCCCGGGCTCACCCTTCTTCTCGTCCCAGGACTTCCCCATCCTGCACCTGGACGGGATCGTGGAGGACTCCTCCAACATCCTGGGCTTCTCCATGTTCAACACCTCGCACCCCTTCTACCCCGAGTTTGTGCGCAGCCTCAACATGTCCTGGAGAGAGAACTGCGAAGCCAGCACCTACCCGGGCCCTGCGGTGAGCAAGCCCCCTGGCCCCCGCACACAGACACTCTGCACACAGATACTCTGGGCCCCTTCAGATCTCTGCCAGTTGGTGCTCAGAGCCTCTGGTGCTCCCACTTCACTTCCCGAGTACCTGCCATGCAGCCTCACTCTGAGATAAGTCTGACCTGTCCTCCTCTCCACCTCCCATGGTGCAGCAGCCACACTGGTCTCCAGGTGCCTCTGCCGCCCCAGCACACGCGCACCTCAGGGCCTGCGCTTCGCTTCCTCATCACCAAGTCATTGCTCAAATGTCCCCTTCGTTGTGAGACCTTCCTTGGTCCCATTAAAAATATGGGAAACTCCCCACGATATAGCCCCCTTCCCTGCTGTATTTTCCTCCATAGCACCTGTCTTTGCTTATCTAATTACCATGTGGCTTGCTCTATATTTTGCTTAGATATCGATACACATACATGATTTTAAGTTCCTTGAGAGCAGGGCTTTCTCTCTGTTCACCATTATATACCAGCACCTAAGACAGCCTGGCTCAGAGTAGGTTTCTGATAATATATGCTGAATAAGTGCAAACATAGAAAAGATGCATATTTATGTGTGTTTGCTCACAGACATCTAGTCATATACCAAGATACTGAGACAGTCCTACGTGCACAGAAACCCATGGATACCGAGCCATGCAGTCGGATGTGCACACATGGACACAGACAGAGGCACATTCATTCGCACCCCTGCGCCTACCTGCATAGCACGAGATTCACACCTGCACATCCACCCAGCTAAGACGTACTCTCGCAGACACACTCACAGACGCCCTGTGCCATCAATCACAGCTCAGTGGCAGCTTGTATGGAGCCCGCACCGTGTGCCAGCGCTGTTTGGAGTTCTTTGCTGCATTATCTTGCTTGATCCCCACCCTAGTACTCAGAGGCAGAAATGGCAATTATCCCCACTATACAGGGGAGGAAACTGAGGTTCAGAGGGTAGTGGGGACTTGGCCCACTACAGGGAATAGTAGAACTGGGCCTTCAGCTCAGACCTGCCTGTCTCCCAGGCCCGGGCTCATAGCCATTATATGCTCCTGCCTCCTAGACACCCGGCCCTGCCCTGTGTATAAACAAATAGGAACATTTGCCCAGCCCCACCCACATAAACATCCCTAGGCACACTGAGAGAGGGGCTGTGGCCATTGTCTCCAGCCGGCATCAGCCATACAGACATGCAGATTCCCAGGCGTACCCTCACCTCAGGCCCATGAACAACCCCTTTGGGGGTGACAGGACTGGCTGTCCAGGCACACTCAGACATGTCCTCCCCTGAACAGACACATGGTCACACGCATTCAGGAAGAGATGCTGCCATAGAGGCCTGGCAGCATGCACACCTTTCCCTGTCACGTGCATTCCCCGAGAAAGACACCAGAGAGTTGACTGAGGGCTGGGGGTGGCACCAGGGGGCTCGGGGACTCCCCTGGCTAAGCTGCCTCTTCCCTGTCCTGCCCCACCTCTGCCCCCACTCAGCTGTCGGCAGCCCTGATGTTTGATGCCGTGCATGTGGTGGTGAGCGCCGTCCGGGAGCTGACCCGCAGCCAGGAGATCGGTGTAAAGCCACTGGCCTGTACGTCGGCCAACATTTGGCCCCACGGGACCAGCCTCATGAACTACCTGCGCATGGTGAGCTGCGAGTGGGAGGGCTGAGGGCAATCAGCCTGCCTCCGGTGGGGGACTCACTGTGTCCACCTTTCGGCCCTTTGCCCTCTCCCCCACCTCCAACCCCACCCAACGCCTCTTGCTCCCTCTGCGCCTCTTCCTTGCTCTTCCCTCTGTCCCTTCTTTCCTGGCTTTCTTCTGCCTGCCGGTACTGCTGCGTCCTGTGTCTTTGTTCCATCACCCCACGTTTGCTGGTGTGTGGTCTTGCTTGTTTAATTGTGGTCCTTCCTGGTCCCTCTCCCTCTCTCTTGTCCCCTCCACCTCTGTCTCTTTCCCCCTGGGCCTCTCCCACCCATCTCTGGGCTCCTGCCACCCCTCCCTCTGGCCACCTCCCACCCTGCTAGGTAGAGTATGACGGGCTGACCGGGCGGGTCGAATTCAACAGCAAAGGGCAGAGGACCAACTACACCCTGCGTATCCTAGAGAAGTCCCGGCAGGGCCACCGTGAGGTGAGCAGGCCCAGGGTGAAGCCAGAGCCCTGACTGGGTGGGTGGGGTGGAGGTGGAATGGAGGGAGGGCGGGGTGGGACCCGACCGGTTAGAGTACCATACCCCTCTCCTCCCCAGATCGGGGTGTGGTACTCTAACCGGACCCTGGCCATGAACGCCACCACCCTGGACATCAACCTGTCGCAGACGCTGGCCAACAAGACGCTGGTGGTCACGACCATTTTGGTGAGTGGCCCTTGTGGGGCGGCAGTAAATGAAGGGGCCTTTCCTGAACGATGCCCAGCCCAGTCCTGGTCAGGAGGAGGGATGCCTCAGCTGGCAAAGCCCACAGCGCCGTGGGGCTGTGACTCATGCACCCAACAACCCCAGACTGGGCCACGGTGTTACCATCCTAATCGCTGCCAGGGCCAGGGAGGCACAGACTCTGCCCTCACAGCTGGCCCAGCCCGGGCTCCGCCAGCCTGCTGTGCGTTGCACAGCGGAGAGGAAGGCCTGGCTCACAGGAGAGCGCCATGAGCATTCCACGCGGCCACGCAGGCAGGGAGGGCACCGCACAGTGTCTGGCCCATGGAAGGCCCCGTCAGTTACGGTCAGGAGTGGCCATTTTGTCACACTTGCCAAGTATATTGACACACATGTTAACTTATTTAATGTCCATCTTGAAGATGTGGAAACCGAGGCTCAGGAAGGTGAAGCGACTTGCCCAGGGTCTCACAGCAAGGAAGTGGCGTAGTCAGGATGGAAGTGAGTCTCTGAGGCCCCAGAGCCTGTGCTCTGAATCTCCAGTCCTCTCGTCCCCTCACTGTCCCGCAGCCCACTGGTGCTGCTGCTGCATTTGCCAGACCAGAGCCAGGCCTTGTGGGTCAGGAATATTCACCGAGCACTGTTCTGCATGGGCACTGTGCTAGGCCCTTTGACGGTGTCACTCTTTAAACATCTCAGCCACTCCATAAGGTTTGTCTTATTTTCCTTCTTTTGAAGGTAAGGAAACAGGTCCCACAGCAAGTGCCTGCTGGAGCTGAGTGTTAGTCTTCGAGGCCATGCCCTCTCCCCTGCAGCCCTGCCACCCGCCGGGCACAGTGGCCTCTAGGAGGTCAGGGAGGGGTGACACGCAGGATCTGGTGAGCAGGAAGCTGTCGGGAGCAGCTGGGCTTAGAGGCTGGGCATGCCGCAGCCATGCTCTTTGCAGCAGCCAAGTCCCTGGCCCACTGGCATCCACGTCTTGGGGGTCCCTCAGTGCCTCTGTGAGCTGAGCTGGCTGGTGCTATGGATCCTGAGGTTGAAAGCATTACCACAGGTTCCACAGGATGTCAGAGGCCCCCTAAAGCAGAGTGTCGAGGGGCCATTCCCTCAGTCCCTAGGGAACTTCTGATCTAAAAGTGGACTTCGAGTCCCTCTGGAGAAGGGCCAGCGATCCTGCTGGGGAGGGACAGATGGCCTGCAGACAGGAAACCAGACACTTCGTAACAGCCTCACTGAGAGCCCTATGGGCCAGGCAGGCTGGCTGGCAGAAGTCGGACCTCCGTGCTTGTGGGAGTGTTTGCCAGTTCCAGGGCCTTCCCGGGGCCTGAAGAGATAGGGTGCTTGGTGGGGAGCAGGGGCAAAGGTCAGGGAGGGGGTGTCAAGAGAGCAGAGCCATGATCCTAGGGCAGCCCAGGGCCATTTGGATATTTATAACATCATTTAAGGGCCATACAAATGATCAATTTAAAAATTAGCTTGCTATACTTGGTCAAACATTTAATTAACTCTCCCCTAATGCCTGACAGGACCAGACCAAATGATTTCGCAGGCCTTGTGCAAATGATCAATTTAAAAATTAGCTTGCTATACTTGGTCAAACATTTAATTAACTCTCCCCTAATGCCTGACAGGACCAGACCAAATGATTTCGCAGGCCTTGTGTGTCCCTAGGGCCAGACATTCCCCAGCCCTGACCTAGGGACTTCGAGTTTCTTCTCACACTTACCTCTTCTCCCCAAGGCCCATAAGCCAGTGTTCTCTTCCTGATACTCATTCTCTTGATGGATTCATTCATTCCACAAATATTTTCTGAAGCTGCTGTGTGTCAGGCTTTGCACAAGTTCTGGAGGTACAGGAATGAGTCACACGTGGCCTCATGGTTTCCTTACTTTTGAGGGGAGGGGATCCCAGTTCAATGGAGGAGACAGGCATGGACACAGTCATTCTCACACAGAAAGGAGGGACTGACTCAGCTGTGAAAGGCCCGAGGAAGGCTTCACAGAGGAGGTGGCATTAGACTGGGCTTTAGAAGCTGTGTAGGAGTTGGGTGCACAGAGGAGGCAGGGTGGGCATCTGGGCAGCAGGAGCCACAGAAGCAGGGGCCTCAGGAAGCGTTTGTCAGATTGGACGTGGAGGTAGCTGGCTCCGTGTGCACAGCCAGATGTGCCTGCTGATTCACTAACATTTTCTGACTTGTGTTTCTGGACAAGGGCCTTTGTCAGATACTTGGGGATTCAGACTTGAGTCAATGTGGGCGCCTGGGCAAGATGCAGTCAGGACTTGTCTTATGCCCAGCTCTGTCCCCAGGGCCTAGAGTGGTGCCTGGCACCTAGTAAGCATGGAGGGGTGGTGAGTGCTGCCACAGAGGTGGGAGGGTCTCTGAAGGACTCATTTATGCTTACCCCCTGTACCTTGAAGGTGTTGAGTGAAAGGGGTGGGGCCAGATTGGAATAGCTCCTGGGTGCATAAGGGAGGCTGAAGGAGAGGGAGGTGCTCCAGGTGGGGGGAACACAAGGCCTGAGCTGGGCTGGGCTGTCGGCAGGGAGGGGGATCTGATGTGGAATGTTGGGAAGCAGTGAAGATAGGGTGTGGTGCCTGTGATGCCCAAGGACTGGGCCAAGGGAGGGAACAGGAGAAGTTTCTCAACAGGGTGGGAGTGTCCCTGGGGTGGGGCTCACAGGTCTGGAGCTGAGAGGGCTGGCTGGTGACAAGTTGAGAGAGGCCCACAGGAAGGTGAGGGTGTAAGAGGAGGCCCCAGGAGGTGAGTCTGTGCAGGGGCCTTTCCTCAGGCCCTGCTCCTGGAGAGCCCTCACTTGGTCCCCATGATTCCCTTCATCAAGCAGCTGTGATGTCGCATCCTGCTCTTTGGTGCCTCTGGGTCAGGTATTCCTGTCTTCACTGCCTACCACTCAGGTTGTCCATACTTTCATTTGTAAAATGGGTCTATTAATCTCATTTTGAAGGGTTGTGGGGGGATTGCATGAGATCAGAAGGCACCCTTGGTGGCGCCCAGCATGATCGTGGTAAGCACACACGAGCCCTTTCCCCTTCTCTCTTGTCATCTGGCATCCTTGATAGAAACATCAGTCATCTTGGCTGATGTCTTTGAGCACTTACTCTTCAGCTCTGAGTTGGGTACCCTTATGGCCCCTGATTTTCAGATGAGGGTTAAGTGACCGCCCCAGTCACCCAGCTAGAAGGTGGCAGAGCCCACATACCTGTCCATTGCACTACACTGCCTTGATTTGCCTCATTTTTTTGCTCTTTTCTGAGCCCAGAGGACTGTGTTCTAGGCTTGGCTCTACCATTCGCATGCTACATAACCTGGTGGGTGTCTTCTCTCCATCCTCAGTTCGCGCCTTTAAAGTGGGGGAATTGAATGTTCATAGAGTGAAGGGGCTAGACTAGATCAGGGTTGTTTAAACAGCACTCCAGGAAGTCCTGGATATGGATTTGGGTCCTGGGTTCACGGAAGGCATGCAGCTTTCGAGGAATGTTCTAGAACCCACCCTACTTAATTTTTTTGTTTGTTCTTAGTGGGTTTTTTTTTTTATATTTTATTGATTTTTTACAGAGAGGAAGGGAGAGAGATAGAAAGTTAGAAACATCGATGAGAGAGAAACATCGATCAGCTGCCTCCTGCACATCTCCCACGGGGGATGTGCCCACAACTCAGGTACATGCCCCTGACCGGAATCGAACCTGGGACCTTTCAGTCCGCAAGCCGACAAGCTATCCACCGAGCCAAACCGGTTTCGGCTGTTCTTAGTTTTAAGAGATTTTTATGGAAGTGTAACATGCATACAGAAACGTGCACAAATCCTAAATGTACTGCTCGCCGAATTTCCAAAAACTGAATACACCCATGGAACCAGCCTTCCCACCCGAGCCCTCCTCATGTCCCTTCTGGTCTCTGACCCTCCAAAGTAACTACCATCTCAACTTCCATCACCACAGATTAGCTTTTCCACCTTTGAACTTCATGTAAATAGCTTCATACCCTATGTTCCCTCTTTTGTCTGGCTTCCTCTGTTGATGGGTTTGTGAGATTCATCCATGTTGGATTAGTTTAGTTTCATCGTTACATGTTCTGTTCTATGAACGTAACACAGTTTACTTAGGAGTTGTTTTTAGTGTTTTTCTATTATGAAAAGTCCTGCTATGAACACCTACTACATGCCTTCTGGTGAACACAGCGTTTCCGTCCAGTGTTCACCCAGGAGTGGAATTGCTGGGCCTATCAGCTTTAGGAGATGCTGCCGGAGTGCTGTCCATAGTGGCAGTGCCACTTTGCACCCGCACCAGTAGTGTGAGAATGAGCATTTCAGTTACTCCTCATTTTCTCCAGTGATGAGCATATACAGGACCTAATTACACTCTGGTTTTCACCGGCATTTCCCTAATGATCAGGGAGGCTGACCACCTTTTTCTGTTTGTTAGCTATTTGGAAATCTTTTGGGAAGTCTCTGCTCAAGTCTTTTACTATTTTTTAAAAATCGGGATATATGACCTTTTTATTGATTTGTGAGTTATTTATATATTCCTTCTATAAAGGATACTATCCTTTGTAGAAATATGTATTACAGATGTCTTCTCTCACTTTGTGGCTTGCTTTGCCCTCTCACTTGTATGTGTCCCCCCACCCCCCGCCCATGATATATTTTTCAATCCTCACCTGAGAATATGTTTTTTAAGTTGATTTTAGAGAGAGAGGAAAGGAGAGGGGGAGAGAGAGAAACCTCCATGTGAGAGAGAAACCTTGATGGGTTGCCTCCCATGTACATATTGATCAAGGATCGAACCCACAACCTTTCAGTGTATGAGACAACACCATAACCTGAGCCATACTGGCCAGGCCCCCCAGTGATATATTTTGATGAAATTTTATCTTTAAAAAAATAATTTATTGATTTTTAGAGAGAGGGAGAGAGAGAGAGAAACATCAATCGGCTGCCTTTTGTGTGCTCCCCACCCAGAATTGAGCCACAACCCAGGCATGTGACCTGACCGGGAATTGAATTGGCAACTCCCTGGTGCATGGGATGATGCCCAACCCACTGAGCCACACTGGCCAGGGCAATGAAAATATTTTTAATTTTACTAAAGTTCACTTTATTGTGTTTTTTTTCCTTTATGGTTAATTCTTTTTGAATTTAATGATTCTCTGGACCAAGGTCATAAAGTCTATTTGTTTTCTAAAATTAACAAATTTTCCTTTTATATTTGGATCTACAATCTACCTGGAATTGATTTTTATGTATCATGTGAGGTAGGAGATCAGAATACATTTTTTTCCCATATGAATATACTTGGTTGAACAGCACCATTTATTAAAATGGTCATTCATTTTTAAAATATATTTTTATTGATTTTAGAGAGGAAGGGAGAGGGAGATAGAAACATCAATGATGACAGAGAATTATTGATCGGCTACCTCGTGCACCACCGCTACTGGGGATCAAGCCCACAACCAGGCATGTGTCCTTGACTGGAATTGAACCTGGGACCCTTCAGTCCGCAGGCCGATGTTTTGTACACTGAACCAAACCAGCTAGGGCAAAATGGTAATTCTTTACCCCTTCACCACAGTCTTACCTTTGTCATAACTGAGTATCCACTCATGTGTGGGTTTCCCACATTCTGTTCTTTTTTTTTTTTTTAATAGACTCCAGGCAGACTTTTTTAAAAAATATATTTTATTGATTTTTTACAGAGAGGAAGGGAGAGGGATAGAGAGAGTCAGAAACATCGATGAAAGAGAAACATTGATCAGCTGCCTCCTGCACACTCCCTACTGGGTATGTGCCCGCAACCAAGGTACATGCCCATGACCAGAATCGAACCTGGGGCCCTTGAGTCCACAGGCCGATGCTCTATCCACTGAGCCAAACTGGTTAGGGCCCACATTCCGTTCTTTATCCATTTGACCAGCTTTGCTGTCATGCCACATTGTCTTACATACCATATCTTTAAGTTAAGTATTAATATCTGATGGATAAGTCCTCCGGTTTTCATGTTCTTTAGAATTGCTTTGGTTCTTGACCCTTTGCATTTCCACCTATATTTAAATGTCATACTTCAAAAAATTGAAATATTTTACTAGTTACTATTCAGAAGTCTAAACTGGGGGAGGAACAGTTTAATATAAACCTAAATTAAATGGAATTCAAAGAGGAGATAAGGAGTGAAAAATCAGTGTCCTTTTCTCTCCAGTTCCCCATAGGCCACATCCTTCCAAAAGGTCTGCACATACAAGCACGTCCCCACTCTCTCCTTCACAAAGAGTAGCATATTGTACACATTCTGTAGCTTGTTTTTCCCCCTCTTAATAGATCTGAGAGAACTTGTTATTTTAGTAGTTGCCTGGGATACTTTGGTGACGTCAGCAGTCTTTTAAACCTGTGCCGAATTAGGTTGCTCCAGTCTTTGTTCCCACTACAAGCAATGCTGCCGTGACTCCAGGACCTGCGTTTTTGTGTACAGGTGCACAGACATTTGTAGGATGAATTCTTAACCCAGACTTAGCAACAGCCCACTGTCTGTCTGCAGTGCTTCCACAGAAGGTCCCTGAGGAAGCCTGAAAACCTTGGATTAGAGGCTCCTTTAAGAGCCTCAGTTCTGACGGTCTGGGGCTCTAGGTTGAGTCCTACAGCATCGTTTTCTGATCCTGAGTTCTGTTCACAGGCACAGGCCCTCTTTCTGGCCCTATAACCCCAGACCCTGGTCCTGAGGCCTCAAATCCACAACCCAAGTGCCTCAACCTTGAATCTGAGATCAGCTTGGCCTGCTGGAAGGAACAAGGGGATTGGACCCCACAGCAACTGGGTTTTGAATCCCAAATCTTCCCAGTCTCCCCTTCCCACTGTCCTGCTTCCGCTGTGTGGCCTTGGGCAAGACACTTGACCTCCCTGAGCTTGTTTCCTTCCTCCTTTGCATGTGAAGAGGGTTTAGTAGAGCCTTCCAGCTAACAGCGGTGCTTATCTAGATAACTCTTGATGTTTTATTCTCCAGCTTTGATATCTGACCTGGGTCCCCAGCTCTATGTCTGGGATCTCCCATGTTGCTCTCGGGTTCTGTCCACTTGAGTTCAGTCTAGCACAGGGCTTCAGGGCAGAGCTTCGGAGTCAGACTGACTGTCCATCTCAGCCGCGTACTCCTTCACTTCTCGGGACCTCAGTGTCCTCATCTCTAAAGCAGAGGTAATAATACCGACCTCCCACGCTGACAGAATAGCTGTCACAGCGAGCCACAGGAAACACTAGCTGCGCCGCTATTATTAGTAGCATCTCACATTCCTACCCCCAGTTCCACAGTTTTGGATTTGAAAAGGCAGCTTGGTCGAGAGGAAAAAAGCACTAACCTCCCTGCATGTCATCGCCCCTCAGCTGAAGGGCTTTGTGGAGTCCTGGAATCCAGAGCTCATAACAGGATCTGGCCTCACTGTACCTACCTGTGTAACCACCTCAAGACCCAGAAGCTCGCAACTATAATAATTATTATTTCTCACAATTCTGTGGTTGACAGAGCAGTCCTGCCGCCCTCCTTGCCTGCTGTGCCCACAGTGGTTAGGCTAAGCTGCCTTTTCCAGAGTGGCTGTGGGTGCTGGCTGCTGGCCAGCACCTCGGTTCACTCATCCTTCAGCAGACGGGCCTGGGCTTCCTTACACAGTGGTCCCAGAAGGCTGCTCTGAAGGCCCCGGCTCTGGAATTCACACAGCATCACTTGCACGCATTTTGTTGGCCAAAGCGAATCTTGAGGCCAGCTCAGAGCCAAGGGGTGGGGAAATCGGCTCCACCTCTGGGAAGAACTGCAAAATATTGCAGCCACGTCTGCCTGAGAGCTCAGTAATGATGTGCTGAATAACAGAGGTGACATTGTGAGCCTCTGTGAGCCTCAGTTTCCCCATGTGTGAAATAAGTGTAATAACCCCTCCCATCAAAGGTCACTGAGGAATCAAAGGGAGAGAATCCTGAGAACACATGCAGCACAGGGGCTGTACTCCGCAGGCGCTCAGCTCATGCTCACTGTCATTGCCAGAGCTCTCCTGGCTCTTTCCTAAGCTCTGACTCCTTTTGTTCCTAAGTCCACAGAGATACCACACAAACAGCCACTTAGAAAATGACTATGTCAAGGTAAGTGTCCCTTTTGTTACGAGCATCTTTGGAGGCCTCATCCCACCGGCACTTGGAGTATTCTCTCAGCTTTTGCACTTACTTGGCATGATGGGAGTCAGTCGAGCTTTGCTCGAATACATAAATTTGCTCGAATCCCTCAGAAATAAGCATCATCGTAAGAACCAGCTCTAGGCCAGAGATTGCAAACTGTCAGGTGTTTGTTTAGCCTGCACAGCATTTAAAAAATGTTAACAGAATTTGAGTTGTGACTAACCTTTATAATTGGGAGATCTTACAAAACTACTTGGGTTTCCAAATTCTCTCAACATGGGCCACCTGACATCTCACGCCCATCTCCCTCCTGGTGGCACTGGGCCGGAACTGAATCCTGGTGGCGACCCTACTGGGTCCCTTGCTGGCTCCTGAAGTCAGTTCTCAGTGGCTCACTACAGGTTGTGGGGAAAATAAACACGGAGCAGAGCGGAACGTAGCAGGGTGTATTGCCATCGCACAAGCCTGTTTTGTGGAACCGAGTCTCGTTATGGCATGTGAGTACATGCGCATATATGTGTGTAGTTTGGGTTACAAAGTAAAAGGAATCTCACTGTGGGTCATGGTCAGAAATTTGAAAGACCTTGTTCCAGCTCAGCATGACCTCCATCCAGTCTGATTCACTCTTAGGTTGCCTGCCTCCCTCATAGACAGTTGAGATTGAGACAAATGAACGCCAGGGTGTCTGGTGGAGATTAAAACAGCACCTGTGATCTGGGGGCTGGTAGGGTCCATGTGCTTTTGCCCTTGGCTTTCAGGCCTGGTTCCCACTCATTGGATTCTGGATCTAGCTGCCCAGCCTCGGCTCCAGGATCCTGATGCAGCCCCCAGACGCCGGACTCTGACCCTCCTTCTCCCTTGCCTCTCCAGGAAAACCCATACGTCATGCGCCGGCCCAACTTCCAGGCCCTGTCGGGAAATGAGCGCTTTGAGGGCTTCTGCGTGGACATGCTGCGGGAGCTGGCTGAGCTGCTGCGCTTCCGCTACCGCCTGCGGCTGGTGGAGGACGGGCTGTACGGGGCACCCGAGCCCAATGGCTCCTGGACGGGCATGGTCGGCGAGCTCATCAACCGGGTACGGCTGCGTTGGGCCAGGGCTGGGGAAGGGGTCACAGCCTGTGGGGTAACGGCAGGTGGCAGGGGGCAGCGAGGGGAGTCTCAGAACCAGTCTGGCACATAGCAGAAGAGGAATGAGTCCCTGGGGGCTCCTTACACCTATGGTATACCATGCACCTGTGCCTTCTATGTCCCAGACATTTGCCAAATGCTCCCCTGTGCCACCAGGGCTTAGCTGGTGCTCAAAGGTTTGAGCAAATGAAAGGGATGTGGAGTGGGAAGCAGGCAGAGCACAAGTAGGTTGAGAGAAAGGCAGGGCTTGGGCCAGGAGAGCAGGGACTATGCCTCATTTATACGCTATGCTCAGCACCTGCCAGGAGGTCTGGCACATTACAGACATCAAGTCCGCTCCATCAGTGTTTGTTGAGCACCTACTATGTCTTTGTACCATGTTGGCAGCACAGGTGAGCACAATGGACCTTGATCCTGCCTCCAAGAATTTAGTGTCTCCTTAGAATGCAGAAAAGCAAATGAACGCAAGACAGAGCCCTTGGGGCTATGATGGGGGAAGTTCAGTCTTAGAGGAGGATTCTTACCTAGCCAGGCATCCAAGGAAGGCTTCCTGGAAGAGGTGACACCCAAGTGGATACTCAAAGGGTGCAGAGTCAGAAAGATGAAAGGGGTAAGGGAGGAGGGCATTGTTTTCGGAGCTCAGGAAATGGCATTTGCAAAGGTGGGGGATAAGAGAGTGGGGCACACTGGAAGTGCCAGTGGGTCCTGAGTGTGTGCAGGATTTGGATGAAGGTGAGGAGGGAGAGGCAGGGTCCTAGAGGTCATAGGTGAGGGTGCACTGGAAAGAATATTTTGGAGTTAGACCAACCTGGGTTTGAGTGTTCAGTGTGTCATTTCTCTTCTCTGAACGTCAATTTCTCCTCCCCGGGATGGGGATAATGATATCTGACAGGTGTGCAGTGAGAGCTACAGGAAATGGACAGCACCGCACACATTGCTTGTCAGAGAGGAGTGCCCGTCATAGTTCCTCTTTTTATTCCAGGCACTAGAAGCTGTGGGCAAATGCCCAGAGGCAGGACTGTGCCATGGGAGACAAACAGGCCCCAACTTGGGGCACACCCAGGCAGGTGTGCAGAGCAAGGACCTATGGCCGTGAACGGTCAGGGCAGCTTTGACATTGGACTTGGCTAAGGGCACTGGAGATTCTCACTCTCCTGACTTTTCCATCCCAGAATTCACTGCATCAAAGCCTCTGAATGTCACCAGGATAGACTTGAGAAGGCCACTTTGCTTGACAAGGACATTTATCCCATAGGACACAGATTTCAAAAGTTGTTTTGATTGCAGAACCTTTTTTGTAATTGAAAGTGCCCTCAGAACCCTGGACAAAGCAGGCTGCTCTGGTGGAGGCGGAGGTGGGGTGTCCCCGGGGTCCTGGGTCTCTCCAACCCCACCCCACCGGCAGGCCTGAGGCACAGTTCCACAGGCTGCCAGGTTGAAAGCTTCTGCCCCAGGTGGTTTAAAGGCCCTGCAGCCAGAACCTGAGGAGACAGGAGGCGAGGAGTGTGATAGCTGGTGCCTAGCACCCACCCCACTGTCCAGTTTCTGCATGACCTCCACTTCCACAGGTCAGTCAAGGCCCCCAGAAATAAGTAGACTCCATAGTTGCCCCCCAGCTGAAGTCACTAAACTGGACACCAGTTCATTCTTCAACAAAGAAATAGTGGGATAGTCCTGTTGAGAGCTGCATGACCTTGGGCAGAGTCTTAACCAGCTGTGCGTTGGCCTGCCCCACAGGATTGTGGGAGAATTTGGTGCGATGGTACCTGGGAGAGCATAGCACAGATCAGTTGCTGCAGTTGTGGTCTTTAGTCCCATTTGAATTTTGGCGTTGCTGCATAGTAGCTGTGTGACCTTGGGTAAGTTACTTAACCTTCCTGTAACATCATTTCTTCCACTAAAATTGGGAAAACCACAGGTGTTAGCACACAGGGCTGTCATTCACATGAAACGAGTTAATCCAGGTAGGGCCTTAGAACAGGACTGGCAGGTGGTGGGTACTGTGTACAGGTGCCCTATTCATATTATTGTTAATGTTATTTCTATTGGTGCAGCCAGCACATACATATATTCATGCATTTGTCCATTCTCCAGCCACCTAGCATTTATTGAGTGTCTACTGTATACCAGGCCTTGAACTATACCCTGGGGATGTAGTGGCCAGGCCTGGCCTGGCTCTTTCTGAGTGGGTTAAAGAGTTTGGTCTCAGAAGGAGGTCCACAGGATGTGCCCCCCAGGGTTTGAACTGGCTTAAGTGAGAAAACAGAATCAGTGGGGTGGGGGGCAGCAGGAGGGGGGCAGGATGACCAGCGGGGAGGTGGGCCGCAGAGATGGAGACCAGGGGAGGCTGGAGTGCAGGCTGGGGGATATAGGTGAGAAGATGTGGGCATTCCTCCCGTTTCTGGCTCGGGCAGCTGGGCGATGGCAATGACATTTAGGGAGAGAACACTGGAGGAGGAGCAGGCTGGCAGCGCAAAAGACAGGCGGGGTTTGGCCTGGCCCAGGCTCAGCTGTCTGCCGTGGGATGGCCGAGTGCGCTGAGCTTTGCGCAGATGCTCCCACCAACCTCACAGCAGCAGCAGCTGCATTTGTTGACTTCATACCACTTGCCAGGAGCTTTTAAAGTGTTACCTCCTTCTAACAATCCCTCATGGCCCAGAGGATCACGGCCCTCCTACCAGTGTGAGCTCTGGGACGCAGCAGTGAAAGGACTCGCCCCTCCACCCCCACCACACACACACACACATACACAGGGCACCCAGGTGGTTCTGATGCAAGGCATGTGCCCTTTACAGACACCCAGCAGGTACTCGGGAAGCCTGCAGCGAGCACGCCTGCCAGGCCCTTGGCCAAGCTTTTTGAACATGTGTTAACTCTTTGACTCTTCATGGCCACTCCATAAGGAGGGCCTGGTATTAGCCCAGTTTTCTCTAATGGACAGAGGGAGACACCAAGGTATCATGTCCAGGCCACACGGCTAGTGTCAGGCAGAGCCAGGGCTGGCACCCCAACAGGCTGTCCCAGAGCTGATGAGTGACTTCCAGATGGAAGACAGCCCGGTGCACCGGCATCCCCTGAGTCACCCCCGGCCAGGCGCAGGACTCACCAGCCAGTCTAGAATTACGGTCCATTTATTCCACCCAGTGGCCACTGCCGGAATCGGCCTCCCTGCCATCACTGCATTCAGGCCCAGTCCCTCTCACATCCTCCTCACTGGCCTACAGCTCCCCCCTCCCCCCATTCCAGTGTGCCCTTCAGTGGAATCTTCCCACAATGCAAATCTGACCTGTCACTTGCATGCCTTAGCAATAGCGCCCCAGGACCTGCAGGATAAAGTCTGGGCCCTCCAGCTGGGCCCTCGAGGCAGAGCAGATGTCTTAGGCTGGGGTCCAGGAAGTGACTTTAAGGTGGAGCCTAGTAGGCAGGAGGTATATTGGGGTGCCCTGGGACACCAGCCCTGTGAGGGAGTGAAGGAGCAGGCTTGAGCAGAGAAAGGAACTGAGCTATGATGCAGTTATAAACAGGCTTCAGCTGTCCCTCGGACGGCTCTGGAGCTGGGATGGCCATCGAAGGCATCCCCTGAGGTAAGGGGGTAAGCCTTTATACTCCCACCTATACATCATTGCAGAGGACTGTCATCAGGGAGGGTCAGGGCCTTGGGTGAGGGGGTTCTTTCACCCCAGAGCTGAGAGTGGTTGGCCACCAGCACTCTGCGGCTGGCCAACGAGTGCTCCATCCTGAAGGAGAGTCTGGGTGGCCACACGGCACACGGCCGCCAGCTGTGAGCTGGTTCGGAGCCAGGCAGAGCCAGCCTCAGGTGGCACGTAATCCCTTGCAAACCAGTTCATCTCTCTGAGCTCAATCTCCCCTCTAAAACAGGAGGTGATATTACCTCCCTCACAGAGGTTGGTGGGGAGTGGGTGAAAGAGAATGCAAAGTCCCAGAGTAGAGCCCCGATCACGAGGGCCTGTGGGTAAGGAGTTTGGACGTTATTTTATTGTGTTGCGAAGCAATTGGAAGGTTTTAAGCAAAGAATGTGCTATGATCTAATTTTTAAAATTTTTCTTTTTCTTATTGAGGTGAAATTCATGTAACAAAATAACCATCTTTTTTAAAAAAAATATATTTTATTGATTTTTTACAGAGAGGAAGGGAGAGAGATAGAGAGTCAGAAACATCAATGAGAAAGAAACATCGATCAGCCGCCTCCTGCACATCCCCCACTGGGGATGTGCCCGCAACCCAGGTACATGCCCTTGACCGGAATCGAACCTGGGACCCTTCAGTCCGCAGGCCGACGCTCTATCCACTGAGCCAAACCGGTTTCGGCAAAATAACCATCTTAAAGTATACAGTTCAGTGGCAGTACATTCAGTGTTGTACAACCATCACCTCTGTCTAGTTCCAAAACGTTTTCTCCACTCCCAAAGGAAAACCCCATGCCTATTACGTGGACCCCATTTCCCCTTTTCCAAGCTCCTGGCAACCACCAATCTGCTCTGTCTCCCTGGATTTACCTATTTCATGTCTTTCATATCAATGGAATCATCCAATATGCGGCCTTTTGTGTCTGGCTTCTTTCAGCGAAATGTAGTCGAGGTTCATTCACATTGAAGCATCTGTGCTGCATTCCTTTTCAGGGCTGAATAATCTTCCATTGTATGGATGTGCCAGCTTGATTTGATTTTTAAATGATTTAAAAATCATCACTTTCGCTATCCTCTTGAAAAATAACTATAATGGGGCAAGAGTAGAAACAGGATGGTGCATTTAGAAGGCCATTGGAGCGTTTGGAAGAGTGGAGATGCAGGTGCGTGCTAAAGTGGTAACCGTGTCAGGCCTACCCAGTGGGGAGAGAGGAATGGAGGCTGACCGCAGGGTTTGGCCGTAGCAGCTGTGTGGATGGCGAGGCTGATTTCCACCTTGGGAGGGTGTGAGATGAGCAGT